TGTGTGTGTGTGTGTGTGTGTGTGTGTGTGTGTGTGTGTGTGTGTGTGTGTGTGTGTGTGTGTGTGTGTGTGTGTGTGTGTGTGTGTTTACCTTGGGCAGCTTCAGGCACTTTGACGACACTGTGTGTGTGTGTGTGCGTGTGTGTGTGTGTGTGTGTGTGTGTGTGTGTGTGTGTGTGTGTGTGTGTGTGTGTGTACCTTGGGCAGCTTCAGGCACTTTGATGACACGGCGTACTCGATGTAGGCCTCCTCCCCCCCGCTGCCCCCCCCTTCAGTGTAACACACTTCCTGTGCTCTTAGCATCATGGCGTCCAGCGCTGCCATCCCATAAACGCAGAGCGCGGAGCGGCCGGTTGCCACGGGGGTGGAGGCCTGTCCCGCTGCCATGACGACAAAGAGGGCGGAGCCTGAGGGGGCGGGGCCTGATAGCTCCCCCAGCATGGCGGCCTGCGCCAGGTTGTGCCCCCCCCCACAGAGCAGCGGCACCTCCACGTAGGAGTAGAAGCTGCGATCTGATTGGCAGAGCCGCGAGACGAAGCTGCGGTACTCCTTCCTGTGGCGGCGCGAGAACAGGAAGTACACGTGGTCGCCGTGGGAGACGGCCGCCACAAAGTGGTTGTTGTACTCGGAGTAGCTCCCCACCACCAGCTTCCCCAGGTCCTCCTCCTGAGAGAAGGCCCGGCGGGGGGGCTCAGCCGGGGACAGGCGCCGCGTCGTGATTGGTGGGATGTCCCCGGGCCCTTTGCTGGTGTAGCCTCGTCCAACCAGCATCAGCCGCAGGGCCCCGCCCCCTTCCTGTCTGGTGGTGATCACCACGGCGACGGTGGAGACGCGGGGGTCGTTGGCGGCGACGTACTGCGTGTCCACCGGGTTCAGAGTCTGGTACACCAGCTGAGAGACGTTGGACAGACTCCTAAACACCACAGAAGAAGAGACAGGTTGTTAACAATTATGACTTTTTTCTCAAAATTATGATTTTTTTCTCAAAATTATGATTTTTTTCTCAAGATTATGACTTGTTCAACAGAGCAACACAATAAAACAGATATAATAGTGCAAATAAATATAAATCAAAAAGAATATAATAGAAATTGTACAGAAGAGTAATGGGAATATTGATATATAAAAGTCTAAATTACAACCAGATGAATGTTATGGTTGTTCTTTCAAAACTTCAGATAAACAACAACAAACTCTCACCTCTTGTCACAGATTCCCTGGAACAGCGAGCCACAGACGATGAGGCTCACTGGCCCCGCCCCCTCTGGCCCCGCCTCCAGCAGCAGCAGCTTGTTGTGGTTGTGCGTGGGCGTGGCCGAGGGGCAGTCTGAGGGCTCGATGGGGGGGAGGCACTCAGGTGAGTCCAGGTGAGGGCCGGTGCTCACCTGAGCCTCCAGCTGCAGGTCAGAGGTCAGCTGGTACAGGTGATCCACCCCCCCCACGTACAGCCGGCCCCCAGCCACCACCAGGTGAGAGAGGGGGGCGTTGTGAGGCTCCGCCCACTGAGGGGGGGGGTCACAGGTCACCATGACAACAGTGTAGAGGAGGAGGAGGAACATGGCAGCTCCCGTTTACCTGCACAGGTGAGAGAGTTACCTCATCAGTACATATTAAATTACAGACATTTGTGTGTGTGTGTGTGTGTGTGTGTGTGTGTGTGTGTGTGTGTGTGTGTGTGTGTGTGTGTGTGTGTGTGTGTCAGTCTTAGTAATTCTCTGTTGTTGTTTCTCAGGGGGGGGCGGAGCCTCTGCACACCGAGATTATTTCAACTTTGACCTTGTTTACTGCTGACTTCTCAAAGCGCAACCAATCAGAGGACAGCTAGCAGAGGAGGTTACCATAGGAACCGGCTTCACGCCTCTGAAGGACCAGTCATCACCTGCAGCTGACGGGAGAGCCCGCCTCTCTCTGGATCTGATTGGCTGAGCTGAGTTTAACTTTTTAAAACATGCTAAGCTGGGACAGCAGGCAGTAACCACGGAAACAGGAGTGATGCTGCAGGTGTAGGTAACCGTGACAACAGGAGTAAGTCAGTGTGTGTGTGTGTGTGTGTGTGTGTGTGCGTGTGTGTGTGTGTGTGGATTTGTTAAACGCAGCAGTTTGTTCCCCTCTTTGTTCC